AACATCCCTGAAACAAATATATATTTATATTTATATATATAAAAACGAAGGAAATCAACTAAACACAATGGATACAAATGTCTTTTTAAACAAGGAAATCAAATGAAATAAAACTCTTCCCTGAGGGGTGACAGCACAAGGCATTAACGACTTGTACAAATTGCACGGCAGAGGAATGATAAGTGTGCAAACAGAAAGAAAAAAAATAAAGAAAAACAAACTTGATTTTATATTTATAGTGGGTGACAGGATGTTTTAACATGCTATGCTGGGTTTTCTAAAGGGATATCACTTTTTCTTTTCATCTTTTCTTCATTTTTATTATTATTGTTTTTAAAGCGCTACTCAGGTTGCTGGAATGTCTTCGGAATTCATTCTACATAAAAAAAAACGAGTAGACTGAAAAGCGGAAGCAACGACTACTGTTTGGCACATCCAGGGTCTTTTTTGTTTTTTTTGTTCTTCATGTTTTTTAAACCACTTTACTACCACACTGACAAGAAAAGACACACTCAACAAAACAGAAGCACGACAACAAAGCGTTCTGAAAATAGCACTTGTCCTACCGTTTTTCTGCTTCTCCCGCCCTCTCCTAATCACACAAACAACAGCTAGTCTAATTATTGCAGGGATACAGTTAAGTGCTACCTGACATCTTTTTTTTCCTTCTTTTTTCCCCCTCCTCCCCTTCCCTTCGTCTCTTTCGTGGGTTTATTAACCAAAAAAAACAAGTTACAAAAATAGAAGCTTTACAACCAGACAAGGCTTTGAATATTCACGTTCCCTTTGTGGTTTTCTTCCGTTCAGGCGTTGCTGGGCTCAGGCTTAGATGAGAAGGCAGAAATTTAGTTATTATATTTATATATATATTTAAAAAAAACAACAAACAGTAAAACCCTTTAAACAAAGGGGTCAAATCCATGTCTTTTCAGGGGAGACTGCTGGTGTTGTATCTTTAACTTCCACTAGGTGGAACAGTTGGATTATAATCTGAGTGTTTTCTTAAACACACATTCAGGGTTACCTTTTGTTAGTAAACTAATCATATTTTTGTTTCCTTTTTAACCTAATGTCAGTTATTCCAAATTTAATTGGATCTAGATGTAAAAAAATGTATTATATCCCAAAACCAAACTGTAATTCATTTTTTATATATTATTTTAGTTCGGGAAGAGCTCCAGGGCAGAACAGAGCTCTTAGTTTGTAAGTGCTCGCTGACTAAAAAGCGACATAATTTTTTTTTGTTTGTTTTCATAGGTAGCACATTGGCAGTTTTTAGAGTATCTCTCATCTTCTCATCTATGCCTTTTAWAAAAAAAAGATAAAAATCTAATTCCAGCAGCCGCACCAACTCTCCAAAACAAACGTCCCGAACACTTCTGGACAAATATCATCTGCATCAGCCTAACCTCTGTGACCATGATTCAGTTTGTAATTCTTGTGCACATGCAACACATCACTAGGTAAATATACAAGTCTTAAATTAAAGAAAGGTGTAAATAAAAGTGCCTTATCAAGTCAACAATTAAGAATGGTCTAACTACTAATATCATACATGTTATTTAAAATAGATTCTATAAACATTACTTTTTTTTCTGTATAGTAAGTGCTTATGACCATTTTACCCTGTAGTACAGTTATAAAACAGGTGGAATGGACCCTTTTCGTTGCGTCGGTGTGCTGTGCTTCTTCAGGGCACCTGTCCGGAGAAGGATTAATAGCAGATGGCCTTACATGATTTTCACTATGCAACAATGGTGGATGGAGTCTTTGACAACTAAAATCATTGCGTTTTTCAGTAGAATTACCAGAATTCTAGGCTTCTTCTTTTTTTTTCTTTTTTTCTTATTTTAAGCGATTGTCCTTAGAGAGGCGCCGATTGCATCACTATGCTGTTGGAACCTCACAACAAAAGTTGCTGTGAGTTTTTCATTCCAAGCACTGCGTCCCACAAAATCAAAAAAAAAAAAAAAAAAAAAAAGAGAGAGAGAAATGGCTGAACTTGACCAAAATCTGCGCATTGATCAGTTAATTTTATTCCAGTTGAAACGTTTAGAAAGAGGAGAGGTTTGTTCGTGACAATGCTTAAAGTGTTCATGGAGTGCAAACTGGGAAATAATACTGATGTGGCCATCTTCTAAATGAAATCATGTTCCTTAAGGATTTTTTGTTTGTTTGTTTGTTTACAACCACTGGTCGCTAATGACAGTGGTGCCGAACACTGGTGGAAATACAGTACGTGAATGAACAAAGCAGTGATGTTCTATTAAAAAAAAAAAAAAAAAACAAACAAACGCAAAAGCAGGTCAAGTTCAGCCAAACAGAGGTTATTTGTTCCTATCTCCTCTTCATTTCCCCGTCGGGTGTCGGGTCCCACGTGTCGTTCATAGCGAACTAAATTGAACAAAGTAAACCTTCACGATCAACTCCCCGAAGCTGCACCCCTCCCGCGCACCCCCCACTCCCCATTCGGATGTGAAAGGACAAAAAAAACGTTGATCAGCGCACCATCTGTCCGCTCCAGTTTGTGCAGGGGCACCAGTAAAGTGTCTCAGATTCCTCCTCCGCACTCCTCCTCCCCGCCCACACCCCACCCAGCGTCGTCACAGTGGGCACACTGGCACCTGGCGGGCGGGGGGGGGAGTGGGGTGCTACCCGTCGACGGGCATGGACTGCTCAAAGTCTGATCCGAACAGCTCCTTATATAAGGGGGGGAAGTGGGCACGCACAATGTCTGGGTATATTGCTTTGAAAGCCGTGAGCTTCTCTGTATGCCTACTGCACAGCGCTCGCAGTGTCGACACTTTGCATATCAACTGTGGAGAGAGAGAGAGACAGAGAGAGAGGAGRCACGCYGTTTAGATTCACAACGAGGCAAGAACATGGAGCAATTGTAGTGAACATTCCTGTCCCACACAGGGGGGAGCAACCAAAACTCGCAAATATTGAGACGAGCATTGAGGCGCAAGACAAACCAGTCGCTTTACATTAAATAGCCGATGCAACTGACAAATTGCCACTTCTCTGCTGATAAAAATGAATTTTCCCGATGCTCTGTGAAATCTCTGTTCACTTAATTTAATATACAGCAGGAGTGGTTCAAGGCCTGTGGATAAGGATCCTAAACGGCGCCATATTATGCTGCTACGAGCTTAGCGGCCAGCCACTTTCAGGGATAATAGATGTACTGCTTTGTACCTTTGTAAGTATACCATCCTCTCTGTGGTTCTTTTGCAAAACGTGCTGAAGAGCCAGCTGGATCTTCTGCTGGAGTTTTTCCACTTTCACTTTCTCCTGGAGCCAGGATCGGTCTGGAAAAAAAAAAGCAAATAATCACAGATTTATTTAAAGAGAAAATCACAAGGAAAACTTTTAATTATGGCTATACTAGTGTGTGTTAAAAAAAAGAAGAAAAAAAAACCAGGAGGACACCAGTGCTCATTGTTGTGACGAGTGACTGTTTGGTTGTTTTTTTTTCCTTCCTTTTTTTTTTCCTCCAGTGCTGTGACTGACACCTACCAGCAGACATCAACACAAAGGCAGAGAACAGGGCGATCTCATCCTCAGACAGGTGCATAGAACACAAGTTTTTCCCAAACTCGAAGACGGAGCTGATCAAGTCGTCACAGCCTGCCACAGCAAAGGACAGAGAGAAGGGGGCTCAGGATGAGGAAGACCAAAGAACAACATTCACTCTTGATCTTTATTGGGGAGAAAGGCAACACAGGGAGTGTGTGTGTGTGTGTGTTTAGGTGGGGGGGAGACGAGGGCGGGGGGGAGCTAAAAAAAAAGAGCAGCGTGCTGACAGCACATGGGAGCGTCTTAAGCTGAACAGGCAATGCTTTTACTGAGTTTTGCCTCCCAGACGAGTCACTTTTGGCAGCTGGGTGGTGTTATGCAAGCTAAAATGAGGTCACTATTGAGGCTTTTAGTTAAATCAATTATTGGGAACAGAGAGAGACAGGCAGATGCCACTGCAGCTCGGGAAGCCCATCACTCTCTCTCCCCCACTCCACCCACTGCTGTCCCCTCTGTCTGTTGGAGGGACACCGGGACAGAAACTAATATCCAAAAAGATAACRAACTCACAGAAATACACACATTTACAGCCACTCTGGGACATATTTACAATTTTCCCCCGTCAAATAATGGTTGAAAACCCAAGGAAATCCACGCTGCTTTGGAAGATCAGGGTAAAATATAATGACAGTCAAACACGATGGCTATTTGCTTTCGCCGGAGACGGTTTATGTCAGACTATCAGTGATAGTTTTGATAACGCTCTCCCTAAAGACACGCCGTCTGGATTTATTTATTCCRCAGCTACATGAGCCATATGCAGCAGAGCCTCACTAACGTCTCTGTTCTACCATAAATAACCGCTGAAGAGACAGAAATGCCAGGTGAGGACGGGATGAGTGCTCAGTGTTTGCTTCCAGGCCTTCAGCGTGGTGCACTGAATAAAAAAAATATAAAAAAAAGGAACAGCCGACTCTAATTTTGGCTGTAACACCAAGGAAAGGAGCGAGACACTGTAGGGAAACAAACACAGCAGCTCACCCAAATGTGCGCGCGCACACACACACACACACGCCTGTACACACTCCACTTACCTAATGACTTGAACACATCAGGTCCGGCATATTTTCCATCAAAATAGACTGTGTTGTTTTGCGAGTCAAAGGCACGGCACATTCTGACAAACACAACTTCCAGAGAGCCTGTGGAGACAGACGGGAACAAGATGCCAAATCTGAGCTTTTTTTTTWAWTWWTWTTTTTTCCTTCCCTTTTTATTTCCCACATCAGTCAGGGGTGCAAAACACATGATTATGCTTTGTGCTAATCTTCCAAAATATGAAAAAACAAGCACTTTGAAACAGAGAAGCTTGTTGTCAGATAAGAAGGGGGGATAAAAATGCCTCGGCAGATGAAAATATCATCAACAGAAAGCTATTCTTTCACAGTGTTACGCTGAGCAAAAATAATAAGAAGCTAGAAATGTATTTAAAAGATACAATGTGTGGAAGGGGGGTAAGATGAAGAGTATAACAGATCATATTCTTGCCTATAAGAAAAATGCTGCTTTATTATTTCGTACCAACTCTTTAAAACGGGGTTTTGTGGARAAGTTAWGAACAATTAACATCTTACCTGTTGTAGATAGCTCTTTGAATGATTTCACTTCTGAGAAATAACATTTAATTCTGAYTGGWTTGATGAGCTAATGGCTAGTTCAAGTGGGGCCAAAGCTGAAGTGGATTAGTGCAGTTTGAAACCCAACTTGAATCTAAAAAAACACAACAGTGACAAACACTGTTAGATATCTACACATAACCAGGAGACTAAATTAAACTTCTCTGCACTCTTACGGACTCCAARTACACAAAAATGTGTTTAAAAAAGATGGATTTTGCATTATAGGTCACATTCAAACAGTTTTTCTTCACGTAATGGYCTTCCAAAAATGTRTCTRYAACAGGTAAGATATTAACTGTTCATCACCTTTTCCAGAGAACCCCACTTCAAAAGTTCTTAACTTTTTCATGTAGAGAAACATCCAGGAAGAGTGTAAGTTTGCAGCATGTGAAGCAACTGTGTATAAATACASCTGCCAACCAGTAAAAAAAAGGTCATGTAGTGTTCTGTAAATACATCTTCATGAGCAACGTGATGAGACTTCTTCTGTCTCTGGGAAAACAGAACCCAAACAAAAAAAAAAAAAGGAAAAAAAGGGCAGCAGGACACATTATCAGAGCTCAGGAACACACGACTTATCTAATGCAGTGTACGTAATGAACAGAGGGGAAAAACGGAGAGACAGAAGGGGTGGTGGGGTCTCCTGTCTGTGACACTGTCTGTGTGTGAAGAGGAGAGCTTTGTGCAGTCAGGTCAGCWACAACCCTTGTGACAATGCCAGAGAGGGGCGGTAGTGGTGGTGTTGTTGTGGGGGAGTTTGACGGCAGCAGGCCATGTTGACAGGCTGTCATACCTGCTTTCAGCAGCACTATCTGATCGTTCTGACACAGCTCCATGAAGCCGTCGATGCGCTTGGCGAACTCCACCACATACTGAATGGCCTCTGTTATTTTGATAGCACACAGCTGCCACATGACTTCCCGCGGCTGAGAACAGATAGGGACACAGGATGGGTTATCGGCATTAAAAACAATGCTTTTGATAATTGCCCGGGAGGGTGGGGGGCGGGGGAGGCCCGGGTTCGTAATCGACGGGTTACCTTGCTCTGGTAGCTCTCCACCTCCTCCTGAAGGAAAGCCTGCCAGGTCATCTGCTGCAGCTCTTCTCTCAGGTACTGACACGTCTCCATGTGCGACTTGGAGATGTTCTGGGCCAGGTGCTCTGAAAACGCAGCCGTCATCACAAACCCAGATGATTACATTTGAGATCTGAACATTACTCACAGTGCTATGTGAGGGTGAGAAGCTCAGTGATGAAATAAGCCACAGGAAAAGAAGATTTATTTACTGAGCTCTCACAAAGGGTGGGGGGGCGCGTGGGYTTTTTTTAGGGGGGAGAAAGCTTGTTGACATTTTCCTTATACTGCCTGYAGGAAGCTCATAGCTTAAGGATGAGGCGAAGCCAATCTAGTTATGACACAAATGCACGGAGGGGGGGAGGGGCGCCATGCTACTCACTAAAACAAAGGTCACATTTTTTATTTTATTTTTTTTTCTGGGAGAAATATTGAGTGTGAGAATTTAAATGGTTTTGAAAACACATCTGTTAAAAGGAGTTCCTAGGCACAAGGGARCCTAAAAAAATGATTTCCCCAGACACCTGCCCTGCTGGATCCTGATTGGCCCTAATTAATGGAAACTAATTACAAAAAAAGAGGCTCTTTTAATGAGTGTTGGAGATGAGTCTCCAACCTCCTGCTATTTTAAGCCACCTTTGTGTCGTTTGCCCCACGGTTAAGTTGCCCCCACCCCCACCATTTTACCATCTCTCCTTTAACCTCTTTCCCTCCTGCTCCTTACCTAGCTCAGCCATGGAGACGGTGGGGGAGATCTCTCCGTTGGTGAAGGAGCAGTAGGGGAAGAAGCCAGAGCCGGGGGCAAAGTCGCAGATGGGCTCGGGCTTGATGCCGTTGATGTCCAAGCCGGACTGGTCTGGAGACGGCTGGATGTCCAGATAGAAGCTGCTGACCGCCGAGTCGGGTTTGCTGCCGTCGGGGGTGTGGCCGTCCATGTAGCCGCTGAGGTCATCGTGGAGCTCCGTGAGGCCGTTGGCCGAGAGGCTGTAGCTGGGCGTGAGCGGCTCCGCTTCTCCGGGCTGCTGCTGGTGGTCGCGCTGCTGCTGCTGCAGCCGGTGCTTCTGGACCTCGGCGTACAGGCTGTCCCGCTGCTTCTTTGACATGCGGCCGAACTTCACCGCTGTCGCGAGCGAGAAGAGACCAGTGTGAGATGCGAGCCGGGCAACGAAATGACACAAATAGAACTAATGCAAACCTGCAGGTGGCAGTTCTTCACAAAACTTTCACAGAATACATTCCGTCCTAAAATCAAAACAAATCTAGACACTGAATTTGTTTTTTAAGCTGGAATATTACACCTTCAACCAGTTTGCAACATATTTTCCTCAAAAAACCCTTTTTACTTTTTTTTACTTCTAAACCAAGCTTTGCCCCCCCAACCAATCCCTCACTACTTCCTACCTTTCCCAAAGAGTATAATAAAAGTTTAAAGTGAACAGTTACACACTTTGAACTTTTCTAACTTTTAGACTTAGTCATTTATAGTTGTATCTCTGCTATCAAACTAGAATGGACCGCTTTGAAAGCTGGTTGGGGGGCGGGTTGTAAAGAGCCTCCTTTGGATTTAAAGAGACAGCCTCAAAATGAGTTCATCCRAGGCACAACTCAGAAAAGTGGTGAAAGAGGGGCTTGTGGAGTTACAATAAGGAGGAATTCAGACCAAAGTGTTGCAGTTCCAGTTTATATAGACCCCAACTGAATGATTGAAATGTGAAAAAGACGGATTTAAAAAGACAAGTCTCTTTTAAAGGTGTAACATAACAGGAGGAATTGTTGAATAAAAGTTCAGATTATGTCATGTTAAATGTATTCATCTTTGTAAAATGAAAAATCTTGACCCAAATAAAAAAAAAATCCAATGGCAATAATAATAATATTCCAATAATATTAGGTTTTTGTTGCACGGCGAGTAACAAATACTAATAAGTTGTATTTTATTCAGATTTGCTCAAATTTATTTATAACCACAGCCACCTGTAGGTAACTTTTAAAACTAAAACATCAGCAAAACCGACAAAACTGATGCAAAAGACTGTCCCAGAAAGGAATATAATCATTCACAACATAAAACAAAAACCACATTGTAAATTTAGGAAGGAGTTGGTATTTATAGACATGAAAAACTATTGTAAAAAGACAACGTATTGGTCATTAAAAAAATGATAAGTTGTTGCTTTTTTTAAGGTTTCCAAACTAATCAGGTTGTTTAAAATAAAACTCCTTGGCTTGTGTTTCTATGAACAGTACAAGAAAAAAAAAAAGCATGGCGCGCCACAGAGGAGAGCACGGGCATTTCGACTGGTGTGCTTGGTGAAGGTAAGAGTCACCTTCATCTATCCTAAATGTGTGTGTGTGTGTGTGTGTGTGTGTGTGTGTGTGAGAGAGAGAGAGAGAGAGAGAGACAAAGGCACACGCTTACGTGTTCATTCACATTCATGAATATATCTGTGCATGAAGTGTGTGCCAGACTACATGAATGTACTTGTTCTGTTTTTTTTACCTATTTGTGTCTTACTGGGACACACACACACACACACACACACACACACACACACACACACACACATGCACACGCAGCTTTGTTCTGTTCAGAAACAGCCTTCTTGGTCCAGTCTAGTCTGGACCTGTCTGACAAAGATGGAGCGCTCCTGCCTGTGTGCTCCCATTGCTGTATCTCAGCTGCAGCAGCAATAATAACACCCTCTAACGACCTCCTATTTTATAAAAACTGTTCTTTTTTCTTACAGCAACAAATTAGGCCCACAGACTAAGCGCTCGCCCACTAGTGGCACATGATGAACATAAATGGAGATGTTCTCAGGTGTTCATGAGTAAATTCTCTGTGAGTAGTCATGCTCCTGTCAAAAATAACAAAATTGTCTCATTAAAGTTTCTGACTCGGCATCTTTTGTTATTTTTTGTCTCTACACCAGGATTTAGGTTCAAYGCAGCAAATGTTAAATAAAAGAGAAAAAACAGGAGCCTCAGTTTGACCTCCATCACCCCACCCCATGCATTCACCCCACTTGTTGCTCCCCTCCACGTGAGTCCCTTACCATCTCGTGACATTCCCACTGCCAGGCACTTCTGCAGCCGGCAGTGCTGGCAGCGGTTGCGGCTGGTGCGGTCGATCAAGCAGTTTTTCTGACGGGGGCAGGAGTAAGCTGCATTGCTCTGCTGACTCCTCCTGAAGAAGCCCTGCACGAGATAAAAAAAAAAAAGGAAGGGGGGGTGTCGGAAAAACCTTAGGTTGCTGAACGAATCTCTGCGGGTGCAAACATCTCCTGGCACCAAAGGAWCATTTTTATGTCTTCATTGTGTTTTAATGCTGACAAGATTTATAGCAGTCGGATCGTGATTTACTGTATTCCTGGTGGTGATATTTTTATTCCACTGCTGGCAAATTGAAATGTAACAAAACTACTGTGGTGGTATTTTCCCTGACTGCTATGTTTTACTGTCTGGCATTTAAAGAGCGCTGTGTGTGTACAGCATGAGGGCGGTGTGTTTTGGGTCGGCATGATAACAGTGGACGGTATTTTTCTTCACTGGAGTTATTAGTGTTGATTAATGCAGCGCTGGCATGCGTGGTGCTAAAGAATTGCAAACGCACACCGACTGGATTCCTCATCCTTTGACTTAATGAATTGATTCCAGCACATCATTAACATGCCCCACTCTACTGCTCCATACACATATGTCTTAATTAGCTGCTCATTGGCTGTTTAATTACAAGAAAACAGCTGACAGCTGCCAAGTTGCTTTATAATGGAAGCCATTATGGAAACAGAGTAAAACTGCCAGTGACAAGCAGCACTCCTTAATAATGCAATGATTTATGGTCCAAACTTTTGTACTTGCACATATCATTAAAGGCCTTTTCTGCCTGGACTAATTAGCAATCATTAAAAGATAGATTTCAGCACTTTACCCTTTAGTGTTTTATCCCTTCCAGCCCCTGTGTGAGGGAGAGGAGAGGCGGCAAGAAGAGCTGAAAGGAAGCTCTTTTTGTCCCTCACACACACACAAACGTGCACACAGGAGCAAACAGCAAAGGTGGAATCTGGCTGAGGAATGCTAATGATGTGCCTGGTGACAAGCACGGGGGGTGCGGGGGGGTACAAGAATACACTCCAAGCACAAATTTTCTCTCGCTGGGAATGGCTGGTGTATTTGAAACGGTACAAAAGGTGGCTTCAATAGGAGAAACACGCTGTAGCAAACAGCCAACAATCTGCTGTAATTCAAAGCACTCTCCTTTTTGATCATCGCGTTTCATGAAGAGCAGCGGCAGAAGTGAAAAGAAAAGGGAAAGAGAGGAGAAAAGAAGAAGAAGGGGGAAAAAAACAGCAGAAAAGAAAGACGTGTCCCTGGGAGGGAAAAAGGCAGAGCAAAGCGAAGCGATGATTATGTCCTACTAATTGTGGTTTTCTGTGATGTTTTCAGTGGTGCTTGACCACTTTAATGATCGCGCTCTGTGTGTTTACACTTTGCAGTCCCTCTCTGAATCATTGTAAAACTTCAGCAGCATTTTTAAATCTGTTTTTCTTCTTCTTCCTTTACCCCAAGCAAGCAACTTTCTTTAACTCTTCAGTTTTTCCTGTCTTTCACCTCTCAGTTCTTGCATCTCCCTCTCTTTCTCTCTCCCTCTCTCTCACACACACACAGACACACACACACCCATCACACTAACAGGTTTGGTCTCTTGATGCTTACCTTACAGCCTTCACATGTTATCACACCGTAATGGATGCCTGATGATTTGTCTCCACAGATCTTGCAGGGAATTATTTCGATTTGAGCTGCGGAGAAGAAAAGGAAACGAAATAAATAAATAAGAGAAGGGAGAAGAGGAAAAAAAATCAACATTTTGCTGTCACAAGTCACTGTACAACGCTCTCACCATGGATCTATGTTGGTACATGAAAGAGCACAGTGCTTCTAAAAACATCTCATCCAGTTGCTTTTGAACATCTTTGCTTCCACCAGAGTATTAGTGGAATATTTAGAGTTGTGTGTATGTGTGTGTATGTGTGTGTTTGTAGGGAAGGATCTGATTTTAGGTCCTCAACAACAGCCTGTATAAACACGGCTTCAGCTTGCAACCAAAACACCACTTACATAAGAAAAAGGAAACCGGCTGCCCACGAACTTTAATATCCTACAGAAGCATTGATATAAACCTCGTTAAATGACAAAAGCTCATTTAGCCACGTGAGGAAGTCGATTTCCCGGTGGAAAACCTCACTTCATGCAGCCTCTTAAAATTTCAAAACCACAAAACGCCCCCCAGGAGCAAATCCACTGCAGCCACAAAGAAATCCTAACATGCCCACTGTGCTGGATGGAGCAGCAGCAGCAACAGAAGCGGCGGCGGCGGCGGCAGCAGCTCTATGTGTAACTAAAACGATTCAGCTCGGCTGTGGTGTTGTGCCGTTGACAGGCCTGTGATTCGCCCGCCGTCGAGGACAAAAAAAAAAAAAAAACACAGAGAGGACAGGCCTCATCCATCGCTGTTCCCCTCTTTAGGAGTGGACCACAGGGCAGCCCAAACACAACAAGGCAAGAACACACAGGCATCAGAGAGAGCCAGAACTCCCAACTCGTCCCACAGATGCCTCCCCGTTTTTTTCCCCTCTCTTTTTTCGTATCGCTGAAGCCACTGATGCTACGTCTACCCCCCCCCCCCACACCCCCCAACTATGTCCCAGGTGCAAGTTGTAAGGATTTTCTGCAAACTTTATGTATTTTTAGGGCTCTTTATACCGTACCCCCCCCCCCCACACCCTCCGGAGATCTCTATCTCAAAGCCCTCCTCCACATCTCTAACATCTCGGGTCCCGCCGTTCCGACGGTTCACCGCGGAGCCAGACAAACGTCGCTATCTGATCTACGTCGTGGAAAGATCTCTGTAGGATATTTTGTCATGATGCAATTTTTCTTTTTGGTATTTTTATTCTCACCAAAAACAACCAATCGGAGCATAATGTTCAGCTGCAATAATTCTGTATCAATTAAATGAGTATTGTAATTTAGTCCAAGAGGATGCAAAAAAAAAAAAGATATCAACTAGTTCGGCTTCAAAAAAATGTATATTGCTTTCTGCTTTGCAGTCAACTTGCCTGAACTTTTCACAGAGTTTATGATGGGTATGACTCTCAGCTACTACTAGGGCTGTAAATCAGCTTTATTACAATATAATATTATAATGACTATACAATGTTTCTCTATATCATAAAATCTGTCATGATACAATTTCGACTCAGTTCAGTTCACAAGTCTGCGATCGAAATGATGCTAAATCATTTGCCCATCTAACATCCAACACAATGGGCATATGATATCAATCCACATCTGGCATATGGATTGATGCTTTCATTTGTCTTGATATAATTAAATTATTAAGAATTTAATCAATTTATCAATGTGGATATTGTTACACCCCTAGTTATCATCACACCAAATTTTAACTCAACATCTGTAGCGGTGTCTGAGTAGTACCCATATTTATGATTGCTAAGGTTGATTAGCTGTGGTGGCCATCATGAATCCAGTGGACTTCAGAAGTAAATCTATTGTAGATGTACATCGAATGATTACTTTGTGAGTTTTAATAAAATCCATCCACTGGTTCATGAGATATTTTGCTAACAGACAGACAAATAAACCCATGCACACACGGACAAAAACAATTACAGGGTTTCCTATTTTTAATTGTGACAGTGTTATATAAAAAGGTGTGAGTGCAAATTACTGAGTTTAGCACCTAAGCCTCTATCATCAGGACTGGGTGTGGGCTTTAAGAGTTGTTAGAGTCCATCAAATTGGCCAAATATATGTCTGGCCAAAGTAGCATGATTTAATTTTCCATAGTTTGTTACCCCTCAAACAGACCATGTCAATTTTAATTTTGCACATATTAAAATGGCGATGACAAGAAGTTTTTTATATTTTAAAACAGCCCTAATAATAAATGATACTTCCCTAAAAACCGACGGCCCATTGTCAGTGTGTTACATCAGCATTTCCCCTCAAACCAGGCCTAACTGTCTACTACAACGCCTCAGGTTTCTTTTAAAGACAAAAGGCTTAAAATATCTCTTGCACACCTTTAACAACCAGCCTCTTTATTCTAGTTTGATCACATCAAAAGTGCTTTTGTGGAGGTTCAAACCACAGATCCCTGCCCATTTTAATCAACTGCCGGAGAGTCTGTGATGTGTCATGTGGATAATGTCCTTGTCCCTGAGGCATGCCCGGGAGAGGCCCTAAACACAGAGCCTCTAATCCACCAACCCAGGAGCCACCCTCCCTTCATTCAGGGATCTCAGTGTGTTCTCCTGGCACTGCTGGAGTCAACAACACCAGCCATGTTTATGAGGAATTAGCCCAGATTTGAGTAAAATGAACAAAAAGGGAGTGATGGAACACGCATGGTTAATTCTTCTCTGGACAACACCTCCTGTGATTTGCGATTCTCCCGTACAAAAGAGGGCACCGCACCTCGCCGACCCGGATTAGAGCGAAATCCAGGCAGGAGGCGGGCTTTGACAACCTAACTGAGAGGGTTAATTTATAATTAATCTTTTCCTTACTGTGCACAGTGGCTTGTTATTTCATTTAGGTCTATCTCTGTATGAGCGCACTCTATTGTTTGTTTTTGTGTTCTCACCGCATGAGCATTAGCAGTGCAGTGTGTTTCAACTCCTTTAGCATTTTCAGCCTCATTACTTACATAATTTGTTCTGACATGCACTTACAACAACTGAAGCGTGCTGTAATTATGACTAGCTGTGGTTTCTGGTGAACCCAAGGCTGCAGCGGCGGGCTCCGGCCATTAGGTGGCAGCGTAGGGCCGCTCCTACGGTTGTCATACCGAGTTTGAGCTTTCCACCCACCATGTCCAGCCCACATGCTTTTGGCTATGAGCTCCAGCCTCAGATAGCTCCAGGCTTTTTAGGCTGCTGCTGTAGCTTCTCCCCCACCCCACCCCCACTACCCCTACAGCATTGCTGCGAGATGCCTCCATCTCCCCTGAAGAAGCAGAGCTGGCTGGGCGCTCGCTCAGCCTGACAGAGGCTGTGCCACATCAGGTGAAGGCAGTGAGAGGAGGGACGCAGGGGTGCCAGGCTGGGCAGAGCAGGCATTCATACAAGCACCAAAGCCCCGTCTGCAGCAGCTAACACTCTTACCCTCCACCACGGATTGCCTGTGCACTCAACAGTAAAAAAGGGTTTGCCTTTAGACCAGCTGAGACAGGCTTTTTTAATTTATTTTTTTTATAAGTATCAGTAAATGCATCTATAAAATGAGCTGCAATACTATAGCACAACTAACTCTCTCTGTGATCAAATATTCCATGATCTACCAAACCGTGAAATGTTATTTCTCCTTTGAGGGAACGGTAATGTGGCCACTCAGACAATAAGGATTATTTAAACGGATGTTACACAGAGGACTCAATCAAACACTTGGAGGCACTCCCAATCTGGCAGTCAATATCTTATTGACACAAGCTGCGGTGTTAACTGCCACTTGCTGTGAAACAGGCAGCTGCTGGCTCGCTTGAGCTTGACCAGCGCAGTGCCACTGATCCCATTCACCGCGCCTGCCCGCCTCCCTGCCAGCCCTGCCCGCTCTGTTTACGACATCAAAGACAGGCACAGTTACACAGGCGGCCCATCCCCAGCAGCCTGCCGCTCCTCGCAGCGCCGTGAGATGGCCTCCGCACGCAGGCCCCTTCAAAGACACCCGCCGAGATGCCAAGATCATGCTCGAATCGCGGCACAGTGCGAGCACGGCCCAGACGAGGGCCGGGCGGTGAACATGGGAGAGATTTCCTGCGCGCGGCGCTGCAGCGAGGCACGGGCGCTGAGCATTAAGGGGCACCGGCGGAGAGAGTGGATGCGGTCAAGCAGGATGCCGAGGCTCGGTCTTTGTCTGTAGCTGAGCAGCTCAAGGACACTGATTCACAACAGTMGCAGGGCCCTTTGAGGGGGTGACGTGTGACTCAGTGCACATGTACAATAGGGCAAAGAGGCCATCGCATGTTCACCCAGCGCCCTTCACTGTCTTCCTCACAGCCGCTGCGACGACAGCCCCGCACAATGTGAAAGACCGGGAAACTAAACAGTCAGATGTGAACATAACCATCTGCCACTTGTGCGTTAGTTGTTTACAGCAGTCCTGTCACGAATCATTTTGTCAAAAGCATGAAACGAGCAGACAAATGTGCCATGGCTGTGCATGAAAAACTTAGCGTGAATCCCGTCACGGTTACTTTAAAGAATAATTCACATGATTACGAAGCTGACGAAGATAAAGAAAAAAAAGGACAAATTTTCTAGACAAACTGGAAGTCATCCTGAAGTCGAAACCGAAAATAAAATGACACACACTACATCATTCATTTATATCTGCAGATAACATCTCCGAAATCAAATGAAAGTGACGATCCTGCAGTCTTGTGCAAACACGTTAAATCTCTAGTGAAAATCTCTTGGCTGTTCCCACTGAAACATTGGAATACTGACATAACGCTGAAAGATTAAGATTATCCTTCAAATTACACACCGATGCCCAGGACCACCATCATAACGCTGGCAGCTTAACCCATTACTCGATTGGACAATTAAATCGCTTTCTCTTGGCCTTACGAGTCACAACAGACATGCGCAATATACAAAGTCAAGTGCAAACGTGTGTACACAGAGCAGATTTTGAGTTTTACATTTATGAGAGAGAGAGCACGCAAAGCTGCCTTGTCTGCGTGTGATGTTGTTTGTGTGTGTTTTCAGCCGYG